ATTAGAGGTTCTGAATGTTTGTTGACTGCCCACCCCCACTGATCATGTGACTGCCGGTTGCTGCAGGTTTTCGTGGCGTGCTCTGAGCTGCAGTATGAGGCTCCACGCCGCCTCTACCAGACTCACCGTGGGAGAACTTGCACTGTTTGAGCGCCTCGTTGAAGCCCTCACAGAGAGCGAGGTCTGTGTGGTTGGTGGCACAATCCAGAAACTGTTTGACTTCAAAGTGACAGGGGCCGGGCTGGGCTGGGGCAGACCGGGGGGGCTCCTGAATGAGAGCATGAAGAAGCGTCACACGCGTGGCATTTCAAACCACAGCAGCTGCAACATTAGAACTGAGGAAACGGGTTCAGGTTGGGCCTGCTGGGCCACATTTCCAACCACCTCTTACCTGGGATGTAGCTTTGGCTGGTTCTGGACTGCTGCTGCTGCCCCCACCGAATGCTCCCGTGAGGGCGCTGCCAACCACGTGGCCCACAGCTGAGCCGACAGCCACCCCTGCAGCTGTGGTAGCCATCTGGGCCATGAGTCCTGGACCCTGGGACTGAGCAGGAGCTGGGGCCAGCGAGGCCGGAGGTGCATGAACAGGAGCTGGAGCGTGGGATGGAGCTGGGCTACAGACAGGAGAAGAACAGTCATGCAACACCGCTGTTAGCAGGACGAGAGCTTCCAGCTGCTGAACGCTCTCTGTGCTGCTGGTAGTTTCATATCAGAGTGTCCTCGCTCCCACAGCCTGAGAGAGGACGCTCACAGTTAGCAGAGTTCGTTAGCATGCTATGTGTGGATTTGTGATACGTCATCCGTCGCAGACCAAGTTCTGTTCCAATCCAAATCCCAGATGTGCTCCGGCTCCTCCCGTCCTATCCAGGATGCATTGATGGCGGTGGCCTGACTCAGTGCAGCCAAAAATCCCAGAATGCATTCAGTCCAAACGTCAAACGTCACTTTGCTCATTTCTAAATGTTGGTGTTTGGTTTCTTTGTTGCTGACTAACGTTCAGCTTCATAACTGGATCGTTTGATTTCATCTGTCAGCACATGTTGAACTGGATATTTCAGCTGTCATGTCTCTGA